GAAGTTTTTCCTGAAGTTTGTCTGGAACTTCTGGTGTTCCAGTTTTTGCCCATTGCCCCTTGTCCTGTCACCAGCCACCACCAAAAAGAGCCCGGCCCCATCCATTTGGCCCCCACACCTCAGATATTTATAGACATTGATAAGATCCCCAAGAGTCCTGCAAAGTGAGGGATGCAGCTCTGCAGTTCCCCACACAGGCCCACCAGAGCAAATGTGTGACAAGACATGGTCCTCTCTACCCAAAGCCGGGTTCTCGCCACCCTCATGCTCAGCACGTGTCTGCTTGGCTGGGTTGGGTGGCCCCCCTGGGTTGGCTGTTGCCAAAGACGCCACAGTAACGCAGCGCCTAGCAGCTGGGTCCCGTGTGCCTAATGAACACTTGAGGAACTAATTTGAATTTCTCTTTCCTACCCAGTCTCTGATTTACATGAAACTTTTATGAGCCCCCACATTACACACACGGTAACGCATCTGTTAACGTGCTCTCCCTCCGTTGTGTGTGGCCGAAGTCAGCCAGCACCTTCTCAAGTCCATGTGCAGGAGGAAAAGCAACAGAGCTGATGGAGCAGACAAGCCTCATCTCTACCTTCTGCAGACTAGGAACCCCTGTTTTGGGACTGGGCAGGGAAGGAAGGGTTGGCTGCTCTAGAGTGTGAGTAGCACTTAAAGAATGCTCAGGACTTAAGTACCTTAAAAATCAGCTTCGTAGAAAGGGCAATTTCTCCTTCAGCTTCCGAGTTTGTGATTTCTGTACGCGGGTTTCCTTCTCTTACACTGCTCAATGCAGATGATGTTCTTTTTGTCTGAAGGTACAGAACTTGCAACAAACTGATTAAAATATTCACTGGTCTTTTCGTGTCATTATAGTGTGCTTGAAATGCAAGCTAATCTGCTACTAAGTGAAATGTAATATTTGTGTGTCAAAAACAGTTTTCACTTTAATGTAAAGAAAATTCTACATTGTATTTCAGCCTCTCCCATGAGTCAGAGCTCATGGTCATGTTTCACATATTTAGATCAACACTTATTTTTGACAACTGCAGTCAGACAGCTAGATCTTAACAGTCAGAAATGCTCAGTTTGATTGTAATACTCTTTCAAGAATATGACAGTATTGCATTACAGATATTTACAGCAACAGGCTAATAGCCTAAAATTCAGAAGGTGATCAGATATGTTAAGCAATATATTCTCATGTATTGGCCATCTGAAGAGCTGTTTTCCATGGACATGAGCCATTTAAACACGGAAAATGTGATTGCCTGAGTTTAACAGAAGTTAGTCCCAGGAGAGAGACTGCACACTGCTGCAGCATCCCACGCTGAAGAGGTGACACTTCTGTTGTGGTGGGTTTTTTCCTTCTGAACTGTGAAGAACTGTCTGGGTTTGTTTTATAACTTCTGAGCATTAGCAACAGTGGTGTCCCTGTGTGATGGCATCGCCACCTCTCTTACCTAACTGGATTAATAGCTTTGGTGTGTGAAGCTTGGTTACGAACCTGTGCCTCCAACTACCTACACGTGTGATATCTGTGTGACCCAGAGTGCTGAGGCTGACCCGCTCGCTTCTTTTTACAGGACAGAGCTGCTGTTTCAACCTGGGAAATTGTGGAAGGAGGGCAAGCGGAGCAGCAGACTGAGAGAAAAAGCTGATCCTTCATCCTCGGACCTGTTTTTTATTTCAGCTGCTTTGGCGACAGTTGTAAATACTAATACTTTCCAAATAAAATGTTTGGAACAGAATGGCTAACAAGGATACAATCTAATCTGAGGAAACTGTTGACACTACTACTAGGTGAATAAATACAGGACTTGCAGCAGGTGGGTACATGGTGCAGGTGGTGGGAACACCCAGAATACAGGGCAGCAGCTGTGTGGTCGGACACAGACCTCAGTCAATTCGAATGCAGGAAAGACAACGGTCCTGTTGCTACGTGATGTGCACTGGCACTCTGTTGTGCTGAGCTGGTGCTGAGAATTAAAACATAGTGAAGACAGAGGCAAGAACTCAGTCCTGTCTTTGAGGGTGCGAGCACTTGGTTTTATGCCCACTGGTTTAAACAACTGTGTTCCTCTAAGATATAGGAGGCAGTGACACATGTAGCCTTGGAGTGTTTCCTTACTGCAGTGGGGCTGGTTTGGTCCTGTGAAATCTTTTAACAGGAACATGAAGGTATCTGGTTATCTCTAAGGTTTGGTGTCTTTCCAGTTTGCTTTTGCACAGAACACATTGAGATTTCCCTAGCGTGGGGAGAGCAGCTCTCCCCATTAGAACTGGGAAGATAAAATCAGTGTGTTAGTTATTACCTGTCCAGTTACCTTTTTTCTTTTGACGTGTTTGTGTTTAAAAAAATCCCCGGGGGGTGTGGCTGTAGGTAGATGCAGAGGCACCTGCCTCACACACAAGGTGACCTGTGTGCTGAGTTTATATGGGGCTTGTCATCACCTACTGGCATACTTTCTTTAAATTAATTTATGAAAAGATAACACCAATAAAAACATGAGTTCATCTTCCATGAATTTAATTTGCAAACACAATTCTCACAAGTAATCTGTTCAGAGGGATAAAGGCTTTCTTTTCTTTTATACTGTTGAGAATAAAACGCATAGCTGCTTTTCTGCTCCTGTCCTGGTTATTGGTACTCCTAGAGAAGAGGGAGGGGTCTTCACTGGCACTTTGGCAGATGCTCATTTGGTATTTTAAATTTGCTAGTGGCTGTGTGGCTCTAGGAAATTAGAATGAATGGCCAACCCTCAGCTTGGCTTCTGTGGGAAACTCAGAACACACCAAACAAGATACACACAATTAATTTGCTATTATTTTTATTTCCTACCAAAAGAAATTGCTACATTTCCAGAATTTTTTAAAAATGGTAACAATTTGTATACATTAGTGAATAACAGAGTTACAACTTCTGTGTAGATTTAAAACCAACAGGGCAGGTTGAAATCTGTACTGAGCTCTGTTAATTGATTGACTTTGCCTACAAATGTCATTTAGATTATAATACAACTGATGTTCTAAATAGAAGAAAATAAACCACCACTAATTTTAAAGGAAATCCAGTAGCTGTTTTAAAATCAGTTTTAACTTTCTGATTTTAAAAGGTGTCGGGCTTTTCAAATACTTTTGGGGGAAAAACAATAGTAACTTAATTTCCCCAGAGATGCAGACAGTTTACAAAACTGCTTAAATTAAAAACACCAAAAACCCATTTCTTATGAGTAGATGTTGCTCTAAGCTAAAGTCTGTGAACCCTCATCGACCAAAGTGAGCAAACATTTAGACACCTATTTTAAAAACAGGTAACTAACTGGTTTAAAAAGAAAAACAAAAATGCATTGGGGTGAGGTAGTAGTCACAGTGCATCCAGAAATATCAACTCTAAGGGTTGAAGGGAAATACTCGGAGCAGCCTCTCTGATTCCAGGTGCCCGCTGTGGGCAGCTCTTGCAAGCAAGGTAGGGGGAATGCAGTCGGACTAGCGGGCATGACACCCTGTTCCAGGCTGGAGCAGGGTCACTGGAAAAGAGCGGCTGCAATGAATGTGTATCATCTACTGCAATAATGAGACACATTGTATGCTGGTTCCTGCAGTTTACTGAGTATATACACGTGGAGCTAGATTGTACTTAAATGTACTTGGCGTGAACTTGTCCCTCTCTCCATGTTATTTCAATCCCTACAAGCTTTGACTGAATTTTCAAGAATTTAAGAAATGATGTTCTGGTTAAAAAAAAACCAAACCAAACAAAAAAACCCAGTCTCACACAACTTCCCCTTTATCATAGAATCATAGAATGGTTTGGGTTGGAAGGGACCTTAAAGATCATCTAGTTCCAACCCCCCTGCCATCAGCAGGGACACCTTCCACTAGATCAGGTTGCTCAA